TGGTTCCACCACCGTCCCTATTGTCCCCACCAATGCCCCCACCACTGTCGCACTGTCCCCACTGTTCCCACAACTGTTCCCACCACGGTTCCACTCTCCCCACTGTCTCCACGGACCCAACCACTGCCTATCCCCATTGTCCCCACTGTCCCACTGACTCCTCCGCTGTTCCACTGAGCTGTCCCACTGTTTCCACCACTGTCCCCACTGTCCCCGCCACTGTCCCCACTGTACCTCTGTCCCATTTCCACCGCCGTCCTCGCCACCGCCTTTACCAGTGTCTCCACCACCATTGTACCCTCCACTGTCCCAGTGTTTCCACCTCATTCCCACTGTCCCCACACCACTGTCCCCACCACCACCGTTCCCACCACTGTCCACTGTCCCCCCTCTTCCCACCATTGTCCCCACCACTGTCCCCACCACTACCGTCCCCACCACTGTCCCACTGTCCCCCCACTGTCCCCACCACTGTCCCGCTGTCCCCTCACCATTGTCCCCACCAACACCGTCCCCACCACTGTCCGCACCCCCACTCGGTTTTCGAAGGGGGGGGGGGGGGCTCGAACCGGTAGTGGTCCCACCCTTTTCATGAAGAGCTGGGGGGTGGGGAGGGGGGGCAGGGTTCGAACCGTAGGTGCCCCCGGTTTTCCGGAGAGGGGGCGGGGGGGGGGGAGGGGTTCGAACCGGTAGTGACCCCCCCGGTTTTCCGCCAGCAGCGGTAGAACACGCTCTTTCGATGATGATGGTGATGATGATGATGTTGTCCCGATGACGATGCTGCCGTTGATGATGATGTTTATGATGATGATGATGATGATGATGATGATGATGATGATGATGATGATGACGGTGCCCTCATGATGGTGACGATGTTGGTGATGATGCTGATGTTGATGATGTTGATGATGTTGATGATGATAATGACGTTGATTGTGAGAGCGATTGTGATATCGATAGTGAGATCGATATTGGGACCGCATGTGAAATCGATTGTGTGATCGATTGTGAAATCGATTGTGAGATTAATTGTGAGATCGATCGAATGAGATAGATCGAGTGATATCGATCGGGTGAGATCGATGGAGCGAGACCGATGGTGAGATCGATACTGAGATCGATAGCGAAACCGATCGAGTGACACGTTGGTTCCCCCCCCGAACCTCCTTATCACCCAAAGTGGCCGTATAGGTATTCCAAAAAGAATTCCTACGGAATCCTTCAGAAGGGTGCGCCGAAATGAAGTTTCGGTGGAGCTCCCTGAACCACGATCCTCGAAAGGGGTGCGCCGAAATCAAGCCTCGGTGGAGCTCCCTGTAGGGCCAGGGCCACGATCCGTGAGAGGGGTGCGACCTTTGGGGCCTGTATGGGACTCCGCAGCAGCCCCGAAAGGACCTTCCGAGCAGGCCCTGCTGACCCCCGCAGCGGCCTGGCGAGGCCTCGTGGCGTTGCTCGGACCAGGGACAAGCGGGGCCCGTGCGTGGCCCCGTGGCGTTGCTCCGGGGGGGGGGGGTCCAGCAACGGGCCTCCAGTAGTGCCCCCGCGAACAACAACAGCAGCAGCAGCAGCAGCACCAACACCAACAACAACAACAACAACAACAACAACAACAACAACAACAACACCAACGACAACGACAACGACAACAACAACAACAACAACAACAACAACAACAACAATTACTAGCACGTGGGGACACACCGTTCTCACCAGTGCCAGGGTTTTCATTGGAGGCGGGCAATACCCCCACTTTGTGGGGGGGCCGGTTCAAGCTCTACCAAATTTCCAGACGACTCTTCGCCACCACCCACACCCAGCTTCCCGCCCTATGACGTTCGGACACTTCACTTCGTGGCATGCGGACGACCGTGGCTACTATTCAGGGCACCGCGGCCGACGACGACGGCGTGCGCGCGCGAAGAAAAAACGAATGTGTCCCGCATGGTATTATTTGACAGGGATGATGGGCCTGGCAGGTGCGCAACCGTTGTCGCAGAAGTTCGAAAAAGTTGCTCGCAAAAGCCCGTTTGACAGAAATGTTTAAAAAGTGTTGGTTTCCCTACGAATCCGCAAGAGCGCGCGGGATGAGATTTTGACATTTTTTTTTGAAAAACCATTGGTTTTTTGATGTTTTTATGTTAAAATCGCTACGAAAACTAAGGTTTTGGAAGGATTTCGTCTTGCGCGCGCGAATGTCCACTTTACCTTATTTGTTTGCAAGGGATTCTTGAAGTTTGGATATGTTAGAACAAGAAATGTCCACTTTAGCTTATTTTTTGCAAGGGAAAACCGATCGTAACAACACAACCGGATCCGGACCAACCCGTTTTGCCTGAGACTTCCTCACGAAAATGATGAAAACGTGGCTGCGGCCTAGGCGCGGCGGGGGGGTCGCGCACCAGGGGTCCCAACAATAATTATTCTTAAGAAGAAATAATGTTCAACAGCAACAACAAGCACAAGCAACAACAACAACAACAACAACAACAACAACAACAACAACAAAAGAAGAAACGCACGAAGCCGAAAAAGGCACGGGGAACGGACGTTTGAGCGATGGCGAGTCGAGCCGCTCTTCGAGCCAGGCAAGCCAGTGTGAGAGAGCCCGCTGGCTCCTGGGGGGGAAATCTGCCCAAGAGTGGCTGCGGGACGGGAAAATAACCACAGCGACTGTTTCTTGTTGGCGCCGCCTCCCAGCCGGCCGAAAAAAACAGTGGTTGTGGTCATTTCCCTGGTGCCAAGCTTAACGAAAATGACCACAGCCACTGCTTTGTTTCTGCTGGCTGGAAGGCGGCAACAAAAGAAAAGCAGTGGCTGTGGTCATTTTCACGCCCCGTAGTGGCCCGTGGTGAAACCACTGCGGCGCCAGGATCTCAGGGTCGGCTCAACCCCTGTTGAGGCTTTCAGCGGCAGCGACAAGGGGAGGGTAGGCATAAGTCGGGCGTGTCCCTCTACAGGGGGAATGTTCAAACATAGTCAAATCAGCCTGGCGAAAGTCCCAACCATATGCAGTTGTGAGTACCGCAATTGTGAATCTCTCCTTCGGTGGCGCTCCCTATGGGGCCTCGAAGCGCTGTATTGGGTGGGTGAAACGCAGGGAGCAAGGGCTCTGCTGGGTGGTGGCGGACGCATGCGGGCGGTGCCACTGGGACTTTCGGCAGATCCCCTTTATGGGGCCACGAAACGCTGTACTGGGTGGGTGAAACGCAGGGAGCAAGGTCTGTGTTGGGTGGTGGCGGACGCATGCGGGCGGTGACACTGGGACTTTCGGTGGAGCTCCCCTATGGGGCCACGAAACGTTGTATTGGGTGGGTAAAACGCAAGGAAGAAAGGGCTGTGCTGGGTTGGGTGGTGGCGGACGCATGCGGGCGGTGCCACTGGGACCTTCGGTGCAGCCCCCGTTATGGGGCCACGAAACGCTGTACTGGGTGGGTGAAACGGTTGGAGCAAGGGCTGTGCTGGGTGGTGGCGGACGCATGCGGGCGGTGCCATTGGGACCTTCGGTGGAGCTCCCTATGGGGCCACGAAACGCTGTATTGGGTGGGCGAAGCGCAGGGAGCAAAGGCTGTGCTGGGTGGTGCGGACGCATGCGGGCGGTGCCACTGGGACCTTCGGTTGAGCCCCCTATGGGGCCACGAAACATTGTATTGGGTGGTGTGAAACGCAGGGAGCAAGGGCTGTGGTGGGTGGTGGCGGACGCATGCGGGCGGTGCCACTGGGGGCTTCGGTGGAGCTCCCTATGGGGCCACGAAGCGCCGTGCTGGGTGGGTGAAACGCATGGGAGAGGGAGGAGGAGGGGGAAGAGGAGGAGAGGAGAAACGCGGGGACCGTCTCTTCAAAACGAGTACCCAACACCACAGGATGGTTGGGGAAAATAGTATGGGGACGATTATTGATTATTTTTCCGTATTTTGATGGTATGTTTTATTGTTTCTTTTTCGCCCAAATCCCTTTGTAGGGGGACACGCCCGACTTAAGGGTAGGCATAATGGGGAAACAAACAACGACATAAACATGATAACTCGGAGGTCCGCGCGGATTCCTCGGATCGGCGCTGGAACCCTCCTCCCTGGCGCGCGGAGCGCGCCAGGGGCAGCGCCAGAGGCGCCACCAGGGGGGCTCAAGCGCCGATCCGAAGAATCCGCGCAGACCTCCGAGTTTCTATGTTTATGTCATTGTTTTGTCCCCTGATAGGAGGGGGATGCATCGACCCCGAATCGCCCATTGATCGCCGATAAGGGATCTGATAGCCCCACCCCGCCCAGGAGCGCGCGGATTTGCTATTGGGGCCCTATCGCCGATCGATCGGCGATAGACCGCTAGTTCCAGATCGATGTTTCCCACCCTATGCCATTCCCCCCCATTTTGTTGTTTCTCAGGTTTTCGCTCCATAGCTCAGCTCTCCAGCGGCCGATCGGGACGATCCGGGCACTGCCAGACGCCTCTCGTCGAGGCGTAGCCGCGGGAACGCTGGCAATCCGCCGAGGACGGACAAAAGGCGTCCGAAAAGTTGAAATCTCGAGCCTCGAACCCGAACTGCCTTCGCCCGTCAAACCACGAGCCGCCATGCCGTGGTTCTCCATGACCCGGTGATGACGGACCGCGTGGTGGCCTTGGAAACCCAAGAGACCTCACCGCGCGGTCCGTCACCGCACGGTTTTGGTATTTCGGAGGCCCCAGTCACACGTCCTCGGAGAACCACCCGAGTCAGGAAGCCGCGCAGTGACCTTGAATCCCCACCGACTCGCCACGCGGCGTGGTCACCACTGCCGCCACGCTGTTTGGGGGCCCCCGAAGGTTCCACATGACGCCCGAGCGCAACATCACCCACCGGTTCTCAGGCGGTTGGCAATGGGGGGGACTCAAATGGGGGTTGGAGACTTCTGGAGCCAGCAGGGGCCAAAAAAGACCGTGAATGGTACCTTTAGGGCCATTGTTCCTCACCCCCCATTTCAGCGACGGAAGAAGACGGGATCTTCTACGCCGACATTCACGCGTAG